TCACATCAGATCGGTTGATTTATAATGTGGTTATCGTTTTGAGGAAGTATTTGATCTTCAATTTGTTTTTTCAACTGATCTTCTGATAAATCTCTTTGTCACTATTGGCTTTTGCGAGACCAAAAGAAGCAATAAACAATCTATATATATATATATATATTACTAGAATTAAACTTTGACCTAATTCTGTATGTTTCCATTTTCATCACGCATTTGCTCTTATCAACGTGATCGGCTCTCGCCATGCACTTCTGACTCCAAACTATATAAAGTTGAGAAGGCCGTCTACTTGTTTAACTGTACGTCATGCGAACGTTAAGATCTGGAGGAGCATAGTCAAAAGTTGAAGAGAAACATTCAAACATTCCTGTTCATGTCACTTCACTGACGATTGAAGAAATGGAAATGGCCATCAGACAAATCGTGCGTGGGTTGCAGCAGGAGCTGACAATATGCCAGCTGAAGCAATAAAGTCAAGTATAATAGCGACCGCAAAGATTCTTCACATTCGATTCAGAAATGTTTGGTAGAATGAACAGGTGTCGACAGACTGGAATAAATGATACTTGATAAAGATTTCAAAGAAGGGAGATCTCAGCATGTGTGAAAGGTACAGAGGCATCACACTACTACTAGAACAGCTTGAAGATGCATTTTAAGTAAAGACCGTTGTCAAACAATGCTGCATACTCGCCCCCTTCCTCTTTCTTCTGGTAGTCAACTGGATAATGAAGATCTCTACATCATAAGGAAAGCACGAAATAAAATGGACTGACCACCACCATATTTTAGGAAGAGAATATACTGGAAGAACATACAGGAGTATGTGATCTGTAAGACCATGTGTTCTCAACATCTCCATCCAATTTGAATAATCCAGACTTTATACCTCACTCATACTTGATTACATGGTGTGTATATAAGGTAATGTCATCCTCGCACTAGTTTTTTCTGAGTCCTATGTTGCATGGCATGGAATTATTGTCAAAAGTTTTCAATTTTTTATCTATAAACCTAAATCATCAGTGTTCATGTAAATCCTAGTCATATGACTGAGCTCTCTTTCATACCACGAAACTATATCATACAGTAACCACTTTTCAGCTTCTTCCAACCAGTCCCATCGTCGGCAATTAATACACGACGAGGAATTTTGGAACAAAATTCGTAGAACATGTCCAAACCACCAAACTAGATGTTTCAGGATGGTGACATCAATTGAATTATTGTCTTTGCGCTCGAACACACAATACTGAAACTCTGCACTACTAACATGCTTTTGCCACTGGTTATCAGCAATCCTTCGGAGAGAACGATGTTGACAAATAGAGAGTCATCTAACATTCTGAACTCGGAGAGGCCAGATTTCACAAGCATAGAGAAAAACTGCTCTAATCGAAGAGTTGTAGACCTTGTGCAGCTTTCTATATACACAAATTACAACATTAGAATCCTGTCAGTATTGTAAAAGTACTTTGCACTTCGAAGTTGAAAAGCACATGCGTACCTACAGACACTGATTGTAAAATTATTAAGTGCAGATCGCATGGTTTGGGTACTATCCCACTGTAAAACAATATTGTCCGCATACTCAAGGTTGAGAAGTCTTTCATCAGGCAACAGATCCACATCGTCATTACTTACGTCCATCAAAGCTGTTTCCAGAACGTCATCGATGACAACGTTGAAGAGGAATGGCGAGATTAAGCAACCCTGCCTAACCCCACTGCTTGAGTGGAACAATAGACGAAGGTGATTGTATGCCTTCACCCTGCATGAGATGTTTGTATAAGAGGCATTTCACATGATAATAAACTTTTCAGGCAACCACTTTTTTAATGAACAATCCCAGAGAACAGTCCTGTCCAATGCTTCGAAGGCATCCTTGATATTAAGAAACATTACGATTGTTGGCCTGTGATAAATATGACGGTGTTCTGACATTTGGCGGAGAGTGAAGATATGATCAATTCATCCTCGACCAGAACAAAACCAGCCTGCTCCTCTCAAGTCAATCTCTCTCGGGTTTTGAACAACCTACAGAGTATGACAGAAGCCAATATGTTGGACGCAATCGGAAATAGACTTATCCCTCCAAAGTTCTTACAGAAACGACATGAACACTTTTATAAAGCTAGGGACAGCTATTAAATTATTCCATGACATTATAGAACTCTCTAGCTCCCAGACCATTGTAAGCAATTCAGTCAAGTCCTTAGCCACAAAGTAACCTCCAACATTAAAAAGGACGGAGATAAGTCATATGGCCCTAATGATTTGTAGCATTTCAAGAGTTGGAGTTCCTTGTGAACTTCCGCCTCATTTGGTGGATCAATCGTCACCAGCCATGGAGGGCGGGACAATCTGATCGACGTTTCCAGAGCACCAGGCCATTTGAACTGCCCTTCAAATAATTCTTCCCAAAGTCCAACATGTCGATGAATGTTAGTGACTGGTATCCCGTCACCCTCACAGATCGTTTCGCTGACACCAGGCATCTTGCTACCAGTGGCTCGGATAAATTGGAAGAGTTTTCGGCAGTTAACAAATGCAGCTACTGCTTCCAGCTGATTACCACGCTCCGACTACCATGCTTCTCTGTCCTTACGCAAGCTATGCCCGATTTCTTTACTTAAAAGCCTCCGTTTGTGATCACACTCACGGTCACCCGAAGTGTACCGGCGGGATTAGACGAGTTTTTAGGAGTCTGAAGAAACCCAGTAATTACAAAAAGAACGTTTCACGAAGCCGCAAGCTACTTTACTCGTCATTTTCATGGCGTCATGCATTTGCAACCAATGATCATCTATACCTTTCGGTGGGGTGGTTGCCAGCCTAGAAGCTAGCTCGGTTCGACACTTACTTGCCACGGAAATTGCAAACAATTTACTGATATCAATCACCTGATGACGATCAATTTGTTGGCCACTAAAAAGTAAGGTAAGATTGGAACATAACAAGCCATGTTCGGAGTACAGGCTTGAGATGCAGAGGGAGAATGTCAGGTGGCACATGATCAATGACTGTGCCGAAAGTTAGTGCTAGCCAGAAACAAGTTCTGGTCCGAGCTCAGATGCAGTAGATGTTCCTTTCTATCTGCCCTGCGAGCAACAAATTCCCATCGGCCAGCCAAACGACTGTCTTTTGTGCCTAGACATCCGACCTGCACATTCAAGTCTCTGGCTAGTATTACAATATCTGTCGGATGCACTTTCCGAATAAGAACAGTTAACTCCGAAGTAGTAGAATTCATCCGTGATTGCACCCGGTCTGCAATCTGTCGTGGCGTAGGTGATGACAAAGAGACATCGTTTCGCACTGCGATTTATTCTCACTTTCATGAGACTTTCTAATCTAACAACACATAACCGACTATTATTGAGGATCCAGTCGATTAGTGCAGCTCCAGATATAGTGCTTAGAGTGATACCAATGATAGCAACATCAGATGAAGATGCCACAAGGTCAAACGCATTTTAAAGCAATAAACGGAGAGTGAATTTGTACTACTTCACCAGAGCTTCGAATACTATTCTCAGATAGACAAAAACATCGATATTAAGATTTGATAAAGTCATAGACAGCCCAATCTGCTGTCCAGACTGCATTAGTGTGCAAAGGTTAAAGGACGCCAGTTTGAACGGCGTACGTCGTTTAGAAAAGACTGGTTCAGTATACGTATTCGGTGGAAGCACTTACTTTTGAACAGAGGGGGACTGGATATCTTTTAGATAGAACAGTTTCCACCTTGGGCGATATGCTGAATAAGTTGAAAAGTTAAGATACACAAATTTGGAATAACAGAGAAAGAATAAATGACGTGGCAAATAATAATCATAACGTGAAATTTCTGACTTTTAATCGGGGCGTGAATAGTATTTTCACTAAATATCGTCATTTCATTTTATTTGTATGTGGACTGTGATACTATACAGGTGCCGAAATCAAATCAAGTGGTTTTCTGAGGTAGCCACGCCCCGAGCCTTTGACCTAAAGGTCTAACCCACGAGAAAATGAATCATCGTGAATCGATGCAGTCCCATGGTAGCCGGTGACCAACAATTGGTTCATATGTCATTTGTTCCCTCAGGATCCTGGAGTTCGTGTGCACCATTGGTTTTGATCAAAGTTTCCCAACTACCCTGGGTGAACTCTCTGTGTCCACTGGCCAGTTTCAAGTGTCGGACATTCGCTTATCGTCCTCTCAATTTCGTAAATCATACACCCGCCACACGAAAGTAGTCAGTAGAAATTCCATGGCGAGGCTTTGTACGCGTGGCCGTGTGAGAGCATATCGAGAGGGAGGCGGCCTCACTCCGCTATATGCCCTATAAGGGCATTTTAGGGCAGCCCGTGGTATGAATTCTGTATGAAGTTTGTAGTCGTTTCAGATACACTGTGGTGTCCAAGAGTTTCCCCCCTTCTCCTGTTTACACTGTCAGACGCCTTCTCAAAGTCCATGAGATTGATGTGCAGTGACGAGTCCCAATCAATTGTTTGTTCAGTGATGGTCCGTGGTGTCGTGATTTGGTCTATGAACGACTGGTTCCTACGGAATTCAGATAGTTGATGGAGATCCATCTCAATCAATTATCTTTTTTCTCACATCTTCCATTGATCTTGTGAATTATGAAATATGACTAATCTGGTTTTCCGTGGTGTGAGAACTTTGTAGCCGCTTGTATGATAGCATTGTGACGCCCGTAATCGATTTGTTGAATGTCCACATATTTGCAAATCTTTTCCCATTTTCCTTTCTCTATCCAATTCCATAATGCTTCATGATATCTGGTGTTATCTATACTGACTTTGACGCTTGAGTCTCCCATCAGGATGTGGAGATCCTTTCTTGGGCACTTCGCTATGATTGACCCCAGGCTCTCGTAGAACTGATCCTTAATGTCGTTGTTGCTATCATTAGTAGGTTCATAACAATCGATAACATTCATTGTGATCCCCTCTTTCTCTGTTTTGAACAGCCTTTTGATGATTCTGGATCCATGAGACTGCCATTCTATATGTGCATGACCTGCTTCCTCGAACAGTATCAGAGAGAGTCTCTCTGTGTGTGTAGCATTTTCCACTTGGTGACCGAAGTACAGCAGCTTCTCTCCTATATCCAACCCTTACTGTCCAGCTTGAATTCAATGGGTTTTGCTGAGTCTGAGAACGGTCAACTTGTACTTCCTTATTTCAGTTCCTCTTTGATCGGTTGTTCCTGTATTCCACGTTATTCAGACGCTCCATGTGACTACAAAAATTGTTGCTCTGAATGTTGGAATAGAGCATCGGTCTGATGACCTCCGAAGAATATCGGCTTTCATCATCAGGCGTCAGAATAATTTCTTCAATAGGAGACCTATGTTCAAATGGTTTAACTTGTTTATTCTAGTTGGTGATTTCTTAGAAATAATTTTTTCTATGGAATGAGGTTGCCGATGCCATATCCAACAATCTTTAAGAAATTCGTAAACAATAAACTATTGGTCAAACAACTTGTTTTAGCAATCCAATAGATAAACCATCAGAATCTAAAGTCATTCAGAAATAAACTACATTATTCGACTGATTAAGAAGTGCAAATCACATTGATACTGATGTAGTGAGAAAAATATGTGGGTTGTTGATGAAGACAAAATTATATACTTGGTGACGTAACTTGTTTGATAATAACAATGTATAATCAATGTGGACATCTTTAAACATTCTTGTACCGAATGAACGATATGTGGATCAGTCAAATTTATGCAGATGAATTTCGAAAATTAACAGATAAGTGTTACTTGAAACCTCACGAATTCACTTCAGACGTAATCGGTTCCCGCACATCATCTCATATCAACCCATCACACCAACTGCATAACACAAACAATCATTCTGTATAAGTTTGATAACATGCTTTCTAGTTTGTATTTGTGTAGAGAATATTAGAATGGTATTTACGAAACTACAACGTCTTCCGTGACAAAATGTTGCCTACCAATAACACATCTGTTATTCAAGTCAAAACATGTGTACATTATCCTGGTAATGCTCAGTAATGCTCATCCTTAACCCTGCATTTTGGATTTTTTCAATAGACCTTCATTCTTTCGCACAAACGTCTGAACTTCCGACCACTAACACAAGGTCTAATGATGTCAGTGTCTTGCATCAGCCAGTTGACAGTTTCACTCAATCAGTCTGTATGGTCGAACTTAGCTAGTCAGGGATTCACATCAAAATTTCCAGAATTATTCTTGAAAGCTATTCACTATTGGGCACATGATGATTTACATATATTATTCGTGTTTCCATTCGTCCAATTTCATTTGGCCTTTTTTGTAGTCTCTACTGTCATAGTATCACCACGAAGCTTTGTAAACTTATCCGCTAATTCTTTTCTCGTAGTAATATCATGGGCATCTATATGTCTGCTAAGGTGATCACAAGAAAAGTCAACATTTATTGGAAATGATGAAATATTTTCAGGTAGGATAATTGCTTACGCATTTCCCGTCAATTGAAATTTCCGCATGAATTTTCGCCGTGTATTGGCTGGTACTAGGATAAGCCCACATAGGTTATTCTAGCTTCTGAACAGTTTAGTTTGTTCGTTCTTTTTAAGCAACATTTTAACAATGTCACTTATTGGCCTACTAACCCTGACCGTTTTTTCTATTGTCACATATGTGTTAAATGCTTAACTTATTCATTATGTGTTTTAAACGTGTTTTCGTTTTAATATATGAATTGATCTAAACAAGATAACGCACATATCTTCTCTGCTTAACATAATTTTATTTCATTTTGTTTCTCTTCCTTCTTTTTTTTGACTGTCTGTCTGGCCAATATTATTCTGTTATACGCAAATGCGAGCTGTGTCTATAAAAAATATGGAGGATGACATCATCAATATTTCGATAACAGTTAGCATCAGATATAGGGCCACAGACGCTCTTGATTTGTTTTTATTAATTTTGGTTCTCCATTTACCGTATTCTTAAGGGTTGCATTCCACCACTGTGTAATAACAGTTTTACTAAATCATATTGTGATACTTGTTCTACTATGAATATTACGTTACATGCAACACATCTCATTGGCGTGTTAGACGTCGGGGTTTTGATGTAATGTATGTAAATGACCGTAGCCGATTTCAGAGAGAACCAATCGTAATAGAGTAGCTCAATAATTTCTGGTCGTAGATCAATAACATTGTAGGCCATCTCAAACCGCAATAACAATGTACAATATAAAAAGTACCTATTTCTTTTTACTTTCTTTTCCTGTCACAACTATTGATTAAACCACAATTCCGTCTTCTTTGTGTATTCGATGTAGGCGTTTGATGTGCTGGTTACAACCAACTGTCGTCAGTTCCGAACACAATCAATTGTATTAGAGTAGCTCAATGGTTTCTGATTATAGATCAACAACATTGTAGGCCATCTCAAACCCAAATATCAAGACCCAACAATTGATGAAGAGGATTACTTAAAAGCGTTGCCGATGAGCTTGAACGCCTACTAGAATAATTGTTTAAACTGATTGAGGTATTATTCAGTACTCAATTCACTAATAACTTAACACAATCAACCACTGTATCCAGATCTATGCTCACTGACAACGTCAGTAATACTGCTGAGTTTAACTATGATCCATCCTCATACGTGACATTCGGCACTTCGATTCGCCCCAACACACCAATGTCAAATGTTGATTTTGCAGATTCCAAACTGTCAAGACGGGTAATCACCAGACGAAATAATATTTGACTGATCAATTAGGACATTTTTTTAATCTTTTAAACCCGAAATACGGAATGAGTGGACTTAAAAATAATAAAAAAAGGAATTGCTCAAAAACTCGGGAATTCAAAGTAACTGACGTAGTCTATACACGAGATCTCCGGCCTGGCAGTCCAGAATGGATATTTGAGTGCATACAAAAGACGTGAGACGTTACTTTATGAAGTGATAATCGAAATTACACTTATCAGACACATCAATCAACTGCGAGATAGAAAAAGTGTTTATGAGTCAGCTAGACTCAAACTTTTACCAATGGAAGTATTATGTTATACATTCACTATTCATTTCCGAAAGTTGAAAATAAAAAAAATTAGCCGTAATCAGAAGTGAAGCGAGGGTCAACCAGAAAACGGAGACAAAGGAGATTTTTTCAAATACATCCTAGAGTGAATCGATATGATCAACTTTCGACAGGTAGGTGATGTGTATGCGAGAGTGAAAATGATTTATTGTCTCCTCATATAGAATTGTAGATAGTCTGACAGGTGATAGATTAGTTAAATATTCTCCTATCCTCATCATTTATCATTGATTGATTAGTCTATTGTTCATTGTTGTTGGATTGTGTCGGGTTTTGGTGTGGAAATTTATTTACATTCAAATCAGGCTATTCATGTGTTCTTGATCTGAGTTGTGTTGAAGTCCTGTAGAATAAACACTTGGAGGGAATCTAGTGTAGATATTCGTCTATAGTGAATTAAGTTCTCATTCGTGTAAACAAGTAAAACGAGATCGTTATAACAATTACATGAGCGCAAAATACATGTGGAACAACTTCTTAGGACACTATTATCATTACACGTAGTCACTTATTTGGAAATCGGTATTCGATTTTTAATTCTCTTGGAGCCAGTAATAAACGAAGAGACCAATTTCCTCACTTATGTTAGAGTAGTGAATCGAGATTGTTAGCGGTTCAAATTAAAACTAATTATGAGGATCGATTCAAATCAATAATAGTTATCCTCATCGATCGCAACCAGCGACAAACTAAATCTTTTTTAGAATAGCACTCAATATCAGATAATATCAGTTAATATCAGACAATAAACTAAATTTATCAGGTTTAGACTGACTTGAGAGTTTTAACCGTCAAAATGCTTTGTTAAGAAACAAATGCAGCAAGATTGTAAGTAAAGAACAAGAGCAACGGAATATCATTATAACCATGATTCAGTTTACAGACGTTTTGCAGAAGGTTCGGGGATTTGTACTTAAATGAATGTAAACCTTCACTACAAAAAACACGTCGAACTAGTGTTTCGGCAAAATAAACCACTGCCTTGTGCATTATTATCAGATGTGAACACAGAACTCCAACGTCTAGTAAACAAGGTGTTCTGCCCCTAATTTTATAATGCACTAGAGTCGTTCTCATAGTAATCATCACAGAGTCAGCCTATACACTAAGGATTTATTCGGCCGTCTCAATGAAATCATATCCTGGTCTAGAATATTATCATTATATATTAATATTCCCAGATGATTGGTTTACTTCTTTAAACAGTGAAAGGTACTTTTCGAAACCAGATACGGCTGATGCCCATCTACATGTAGAGTTCTGCCCTTCATGTCGTGAATTGCTGACAACAAACACTCAATGACATTTGTTTTGGTATAATAGACTGTTTTTTGTGGTAAAGACACCAACAATGATATTCCATAGACTAATGTATACTATTTTAACTGGGATTACAGTAGAGTTGTTAGTTTAGTCAATATACTTGTACTTGTAACGTTGCAAGAAGAGCCCTGGGATCGAACTGCATCTATGAGGATATGGTTTCAGGTTACGATCAGAAAAATTTTAATTTTATCTGAGATCTGCAAAGTACCTTGGATTTTTACCTGATGGTTCCGGACAACGACTCAATCTTGAAAATATACGCTATCAATAAAATACCTGCACCATACAATCTACTGACTGACTGGCCATATGCCCTAGATATCAGTTGCTGGCTAGAGGTTTGAGGTACAGACGCAATTGGAAAGCCGACAGCAGAGGTGGCAACAACACTGTCAGAATATGACTTCTAGGTTCTGTACAGATAGACAAAAGAGTTTGATCGGAAAGATGAATTACATTGTTCAATAAGCGATTACACTAATAATAACAAACATATTGAATTCTTTGTGATTTTCTTTACTGAACACGCAGAAGAGAGTTTTATAAATGCAGTGATAGCCCATCTCGTAAATGTTACATGAAAAGATTCTAAGCCTTAACAGATAAATGATCATCTACAAAATGGTTTATTAAGCTTCTTCCAAACCAAGACAACGGCAATAAACTTTGGAGATTGGAATAAATTCTACTATGCATGATGAAGTTTATCTCTGTTATATTATATTTAATATTGTTATTTAATATCATATTTAACAGTAAACAACATTGTACAAATATTTGAATATGCAGAGAAAGTGTTCGTTTTCGTTAAAGTACAGTGTTAATCAGTCGCTAGAAGCTAATATACTTATCATCACAAATGATAAAACAAATTTTGTATGTATCATTATACGGTTGATAACCTCCACTCGTATCGCTATTATTGTTTTTATTATTACCTCGAAAAATAAGTACATATTCGCAATTCTACACAGCGTTGAAAATGAATTTGCTGATGAGAGAAGAATTTGCTGAATCAATCTTTCTGAAGATAAAAGCACTCTCATATTTGTAATCAAGTGAACAATTGTGTGTAATCTAGTTACAACTAGTAGATATAATTTGAATAAGAAAAATTTTAATTTTCATTAGAATCAATCATAAAACATAATCAAAATAATCTAGTGCAAATACGTGTTAAAAAACTTATAAATTAATATCACAATATGATACATTTATCACAGGGTCATAGTGCTAAACTTGACCCAGGTCATATGATTGAAAAGAGTATAAATGCAACTACACAAGTTTATCATACTACTGAAGGAGTACAATGTCAGCTGCTTTCATGATCCTGTTTGTTATACTCACATGCTTCACAGAATGGTCACTTGAAACAACGGCAAATACTACTGAGTCTTACTTCAATTCGACTGAATCTCAATCCAAGCTATTGCAGGCTGTCTATCAATCTTTAGACTGTGTACGGTTGTATGCTCCGTTCTTCGGACGCTATTATTGGATTGATGTTTGTGACAGTAACAGTTATATTATACCATATTTTATGTGGTATACAAATACAATCTGCGCACATCGATCTTATCTCATCACGAGATACTGGATCGTGTATACGTAAGTTCCTAAACATTGTTCACTTATATATTTCATGAGGAATGTACAGTACATATTTTGAAACAGTAGGTTATTTGATCATTTCCTGTGTGATTCTACGATGAGCAAAAGTATTCACGACGCCTAATTATGGTTTTAGCAAAATGTTTCACTACTATTTTGTCTTTCCTCATATACGGATATCTTGAATTATCAATTATATTCAAATTTAAGAAGAAAGATTATTATGATAAATTCGAAATGTATTTTATTGTCGACAAAAAAATGGATGTGCTCACAAAGTTTAACTGAATTACTTGTAGTAATTGTTATGAGATACAATGAATATGAAACCATTCTAAAAGGAGAATATCACAATTAATATACACAACATTATATGCATAGTAAGATGATTTACTTATTCAAGATGTTTATAGACCAGTTAGTTTAAAAATAATAATACTAAATCGAGCCTAAATATTTCATGCCAAATAATTAAGTCGAACAAGTCAACTTACCACAGTAAAAAAGTAACAGGTATTCAATTTATAGATTCCTTTCATTGATTTCTCCTCAGTTGTACTAATCATATCATAATTTTGAGTGATAGTTTGTCTGAATATGAGACACGAACTGGATAGTTTGAACTGGATGGAAGGTCCATATACTATGTGTTTCCGTTTAGCCTAGAGGGATTTTTATGGCACCTAGATTTCATTTCATTTTTATATTTATCAATAATGTTGCGAATAAAACCAATAGTACTCACAGTTCAGCAAAATTCAGGAGAACAAAATTCTCGAAATTATTTTGATTCGACATTCGGAATTGCATCATTGTCAAGACGTTTTCAAGGAAGTTGGAATTTATGATCCCTTAAATACATAAAAGTTTCTTTTCAATAAGTTCATATTCAAAAGTATACAAGTGTACATGTGCATCATATTTTGCAAACGTAAACAATCCATGTTTTTAGAAAAATTAGATAGTAAATAATAGTTCTATGAAGATAGTACACTACAACATTTTTTTAAAGGAAGTATGCAGATAATTCATCCAGAACACTCACATACCTTTGAAGTGTAATCAAATGTAGTGCCGAAAATCAACACTGAACAGACTTCAGCTCCTACATATATAATTTGTATACTTGTTTATACATTGACGTAAAAGAATATACGGCATAAAACTGCTTGTTTCTCAGAACGCCAGCCATCCTGATGGAAACTTTGGGGAGAACCAGGTACTAGTGGTGTTCTTAGTCTTTTGCTACACACCCGCTTTATACTACCGGTTTGCACTTCAGAATCACCACGGTCCTCCACCTGAGCTTTCCAAGACTTCAACCTTCGTGATCCGAATACGGAAAAATTCGAACACTTCACTTACACCTGAGGTTTTTGCTGACAATGTCATTCAGTATAACGATGAAAGCTCAACGACAAAACCATTCAGCTCGAAGAACAAAACTTCATCAAATTCAACGATATACCTGGATGTGATTAAGTAAGTTAGTAGTTAGAAATCGCCAGTATCATCAGTATGCATCTCATGTCTTTGGAAAAGTCATTTCATTCGACTAGTTTGTATTTACTATAACTCCATGGAAATATTCAGTGACTCGTTATAAAATAAACAGTTAGTGTCAAATCTCTCTTATAACATTTATTCATTATTAAATTTGATATTTGGTCAAGCTCAGATTTTCAATACTTTATGTCATTATAAAGGCGACACGGATTCCTCGGTCAACATATTATACTTACACCCGGTGTATGTATAAGAAATTTAAGGCAACACGGAATATGGTCGGTTGGGTCCATACTAAAATGCACAAAAATAAGCCAATACATCGCTAACTATTACTGTTACAGGCCAAGAGTAGCACCGTGGCCGTATGATCAAATCCCACAATATGCATCTTTATCCCAAACACAACCAAATCAATTTCCACCTGGAGGTTTGGTTCCGTCCAATTTGCAAGGTCCACAAAACCAAGGTATAGCAACTGTAAATGCTCCAGCTTAGATTCTTTATTTCGAAAATTTCTTACCGTTAAACAATTTTAAATAAACATTACAATATGAAATGAACAAATTATATTTTACGTATGTATTGACTTAGATGGTAATAATTGTGGAAAATATATATTTACCTAGTTCAATTTTATTTAAATAACTAACACGATACCTTTAAATCGCATTAAACTTTCAACATTAGTCTACAAAATGATCAGGCCAAGAATAAATGTTTCAAATGCCATTGGGGTTGACGGACGTTTTTCAATTTGCATAGTCAACATCACGGAATGATCTTAATCAAGCAAACACGGGAAACCGAAAACGCTAGATAGGCGCTTCGTTCTACTATGTGAACACTCAGAAGTGAGCATCCAAGTCTACATCACCAAGGACAAAACGCAGGACTTCCAGTTCCCAGCATGAATAAATAACCCACAGACTACTATGCGAAACTGAATATCCTGGGTTTGAAACCTGGTATTCTGGTCGTGAGTGAGCAATTCTGAGTTGAAATCTGCTTGAAAAGAATATTTGTTCAGTAGTTCCACGATTCAAGTGGTTAGGTAATTAAGGTTATTCCTTAATGTTAGCTGTGAAATATTTCTAATTTTATCAACGGTGCATGCTTTGCCTACCCAGCTTCTTTTAAGTCGTGAAATGATGTTGCTGGAGTATATGAGCCCTTTCCTCCCGATACAAAGTATGAGATGTTAACAGAATTAACCAATTTTATGTTGGACGTTTTAGCAAATGTACTTGGCTAATTAACTAGTTGTTACTGTTTCCATAGGCCTTTCTTTAACCCTAAATAACAAAAGTATAAACTTTAGATGATAACGACAAATGCTTAGTTCAATCGAAATGAGATTCTAAACTGAGGTGTAGGTGAAATTGTAGTTACGTTAATTTGAAGCTGAATGTCAACTAATTACGAAAGCCTTACTTTCATTCTGTAGATAATTACTGTGACTTTTATTATCAATGACGTTTTGCAATCTGAATTAATTATGCATGAAATTCCTCCACCACTGAAATACACAGCTCATTCAGTTGTGAAACCTGAAATCACAACATAAGTAGTAGCAAACCCAAACTAATCTGACTAACTCATCTCATGCAGTCGATCACAATTCGTTTCACTGTGGAATATTTCCTATGAATATAGCAACCTACAAATAATAGACTTTTGTTCCGTTTACAAACTGAGATTTCACATCCAGTACTACTCAAAGAGCAGAAATAGATCAATTTCTTAACAGTAAAAATTAAGGTATTATTCTTTAAATGTGATATTGTGTGTGTGTTATTGTTTTGTTTTAGGGTTTACTCCAATAACAATCAAATAACAAGCACCTCACTAATATGAAGAATTAGAAGGTCAGTAATGCATAGCTGCCATTTTTGTCGATTCCAAAATAATACTTTTTGAAGTTCATGTATATCATCAAATGTCATTCATTTTAAAGAAACAAACATTGATCTTAATGGTGACAATCATATTGTCTTTTTGGCTATGTAAAGGAGAGCGTAAAGCGAACAAACCATCACGTTGCAGCAAATATATATATCCTAACCAACTCATTAGAAAAAGTATTCGACGTAAACTCTATATGGACGTGATAAACATTTCTTTAAATGTGGTTTAGTTACGGTTTATCATTCAGTATGAGGATAAAAGATATAAGCTCAGATCAATCTTCTGATAATTTCGTTTCTTGAATGCCATGACTGATAAGATTTCCTAGTTTTGCTTATAATCTATCGGTCAAAACTGTAGAATGAAGTCGTTCCATGTGAAGTGACACTGGAAGGTTAAGAAAGTTCATCATGTTAGCTTCCAACTTACAACTGGATTTCCAGTAGACAGACACTAAATTAGGTATATTTACATTTCCAATCCACACGCAGGATTACAGTAGCGGTCTGCCATGTGGTTCGAAAGTTTTTCAAAGTTAGTACTACCAGTAGGTGAGATACAAGCTGAGACTACGACCTCATATAAATTTTATCTGTTTTGACTGTACAAGGTGTAAATATCATTGTTTGTTTGCATCGGGATTAATAAAGACGATAGTATAAGAACTAAAGCGTGGAGGTATCAACTTGTATCTCACAACTAGTAATGCATAGTTGGACTACTTGTAATTTGCTTTTCCCTGCTAAACATAACCTTTCCTGACTAATGATTCATTATGAGTTTAGGTAGAGTCAGTTATTCTCTAACCAATTATTTCAGGCGCCGATTCTTTGTTAATTGAAAAGATTTTCAATGTTCAATCATGATTTATCACCAGGTAGATGTCTATCAGCTCGCACAGTCTAGATATAATAGCGTTTTATGGGCAGCTTATTTTAACTGATGCAAACTAAGCTACAAGCTTGTGTAATATATTGTTCGATTCAGTTTATGTGAAGCAAATTAGTCTGGTGTACATTTTATATTCAAATACACTGAATCAACTCGTCCTATGAGGTTTCAGGCCTATATACTGAACCACTTGAAATTGTATTCATATTGGTGCAAGAAAACTATATTCGCCTTGTCCGCTGACGAATATGAATCTTGGTTAATGGCATTTTCGTTAAACCAAGTTGTTTTGTGCTTTTGAATATATGACGTTTACAACTTGAACAAATTTTTCGTGAATTATTGGAATATATGCATACCAAAATATTTGCATAAGCCATACTAAAAAAGCACTGACAAACGAGACCACATACTATTCAGACTGTTTTTTTTCGGGTCAGCTCAACTGGCACTTTCTGACCATGTAACTGCTGTCTTATGTTTTCCAGACCAGAAGCTATTTCTTACACTGTGTATTAATGATTATAGTATGCAACAAAGTAAGAAGCGACCTAAATGGTCGTTATTTGTCAACAGTATAGATAAACGTCAACCTGCAGTCGAAATATTTCTAAGTGAATTAGTGAAAAAAATTACTATGATTTTGTACTGATTAAACAGTTAGGAAATATCGACTGAAGCTGAGTACTATATAATGATCTCTTAAATAAAGTTTGCGACGTGGACATGGGCTAACATCAATATACAACTACTCAACAGAAATAAGAAATTTATAAAAATGACCATATTATGAGAAACATATCCAGAATAAAGTCAGGCTCACCCCGCTGAGTAGTAGAAATATTGAAGCAGTCTTTCATGAACTTAAGTGAGCAGCTTGGTAGAGATCGAGCAAATGTCCACTCTTTCTTGATAACGGATTGGCAGAAACGGACGGATAAAAAGGAATTACAGATCTAGAAAAAGTATTTGACATTTGGTCTGTGACTGTATAATCCCCAGGATTGTTCACTAAGTTTATTAAAAGACAGAGTGAGTGGTCACAATATGTGGTGTAAGCAGTTCAAACCAGTTGACGCTAAACATATTGTGGTATGACAGTGAAGGAGAACATCGTCAAAAAGCCAACGGCGACTCAAATAATTCCAATTCTAATAATTCATTGATTGCCGCAACTTCATTCTGTTGACAACTCTCAACCTAAATGATTTTAATGTTAGTAGTTCATTGAATGTTCGCTGCCTCTGTGCTGCGGTTTGGCGTCAATCGGTTCCTTAACTATGTACATATCATTGAACATGTAGACCACATTCTGTGCATTCTATGTACTGAAGTTACATATACTGTGTCTGTTTACAATATTGCCTAAATGTGTACTATCGAATGAATACATCTCAAATATATGGAGTAAACATACATGTAAAGCATACTTGCCACAGCAACACGTTCAATACTGGTATGTGCATCACATTTCTAAACGCTAACGGATTTTAACAAAGTTTCCAAATGTAATCGAAAGATACAACTGTTCATGAGAAGACAGATAATGTGACTGTTTGCTTCATACTGTGTAAAGATGAATCGAAGTCCCTACCTTCACAAAACCTATATCGAAGTGAACCGCTTACGTGTCCGTTTGCATTGGTTTCTCCAGTGCTTCAGTCTCGCAAATCCTTGTAGTGTATGTCGAGTCAAGGAAGGACTAAGATCACCACTACTATTCGAATACGCGCCCAAAAACGACTTGGTTCCTTTGATAACTCGTAAATCAGAAGGCTTTAATTAATCCAGATCAAGTATATTTACTGACAATCTCGTGGTATCGATAGAATACCGAGACGTGCCAACGGGTACAGGCAAAATGGGCAGAGCGTAAGAAAGTTCGAACCGAACAAGGCGGATAGCGGAACAAGAAGTGAGTCTGATACAGTTAAACAAATACAGTAAAACATTCACTGGTACAATTGGTTGCAATAATAATAATTTTTTCTGTTATTCCAACCGTGTTCTTATCGAGACCAGCCGGTCACTACATCCTTACAATAGCTCCTTTCTGTTCTCGAAGGTTGATCAACATTTCTACTTGTTCGGGTGTGTAATAAGTATAGAAATAAAAATCTATAATATCCAAAACGGTTACAATATCCTAGTCCATTTCATCTAGTATATACTCGAAGACATTGTAGTTATATAATCCTCCAATTCAGTTGCTTTCAGTTGCCCTCCATTGATATGTAATAATGTCAGTTTTCGTTGTGTCAAATGTTTCTTTCCAGGGACCATATATATGTAGTAAATTGATACGTGATAGCAGACAAACAAAATATTCCACTCAAGTTCAAAATCATTTAACAAGATTGACCTTTAGTAATCTCTACTACAATGGGTCAGGTCGTGACATCAGTGATCGATTACTAAGTAGTTGAAATTGTGAAATGATATTACTGACTGAGTGTTTCATGTGACAGACAATGATCAACAAGCAGTCAATTTGTCATGTGTATTTGGTGAAAATCATTGTATTCTGTCGTGATAATTAGCAATTTATTTATATTCAACATTGACATTTTGTTGCAAAACAATATCCAGCTCCAACGTTACTTCACGGGTAAAAATTACTTATACACAGTATGTTGATTTGTCTAACTAATGCATAGTAAATGTTCTCCCATGAATGCATGATTTTCAATCACTGTGGAGTGCTGTGTATTTTTTTTGAACAACCTTGAACGTCCTTGAACTTGAAGTAGAAGAATTTTTCAATTTACTGTACGGTTTCACACGGTTAATTTATTGCAACCTTGTTTTCCTGGTGTTCTGTGGACATACGAATGCAACAATTCTGTTTTTCCACCAATCACTTTTCTAATTTTCTTCCTACGTCTCTCATCGCCTATCCTGAGGAATATTATGTTAACACCATGTGATTTTAAAAATTTGGATGCATAAAATATGTTTTCACACGGCTTTCACTACTTCTTTTAGATAATAAGGTATTTGTCACGTGGGACGCATTTTTCAAAAATATAATTCAGTATGATAACGTCTGTCTCTGTTTTCTTAACCTCACTGAGGAATGTTGCAGGATGAATCTCGTCATAAACATTGAGTGATATTGCGTGGATATTTGAATCTGGAGAGAAAATATTTGTATAACTTGAGCTAGACTGCCAAATGGTTTTACTTTCACGTTAACATATAAAGAAGACATGGAATGCAATGTCGAAGATTATAATTCGAATTTATGCTTATTCACGAGTTACAACAATGATCTATTCGAACTTGGACAAGGAAGTGATCAATGGGACCAAATAGACGGCACTAATGCTGCTACTGCCATTGCTTGTATGGATTAGATATTTCAGTGGAATTTCTTCACTTAGTATACTAAATCCTTTACATATGTCTTTCATTTAGAATAGTGGCGAAACCGTCATGTGAGGGATATCGTACAGAAGCGGTCTATTCATGCCATCCATAGTTAACATAAACGATTATTCCTTTCGTTC